TTGGTGACCGAGACCCCCCCCCCCAGGGTCTTGATCTGCCCCTGCTTCTGCTCCCCCTCCCTGCCTCCCCCGCCCTCGGCCCCGCCGCCGCCTCCCCCGCTCAGGTAACTCTTCTTGCTGCTCTTCTTTCCGCTGCCGCCCTTCTTAACGCGCCCTCCGGCCGAGGACGAGCTACCACCCCCACCGCTCTTGCTGCCGGCGGCGGCCACGGTGACCAGGGTCTGCTCGATATACTCGTCCTCCCCGGCGGGGGCAGGCACCGGGATGAGGATCTGGTCCTCGAAGCCGTCGTCGGCCCGCAGCCCGTCCGAGTCGTCTCCCCCCACCACCTCCTCGCGGGTCTGTACCAGGATCACCTCCTGGTGATGGTGCAGGTGGAGCTGCCCCCCGCCGCCGCCGCCCGCGCCGCCCCCTGCTCCGCTGGGATCCCCGTCCGAGACTAACGGCTGCAGGGCGATCATGGGCTGGTGGTGGTGGTGGTAGTGATGGGGCGGGTGGTGCGGGCCGCACTCCTCGCAGCATTCATCCTCGTCGTCCTCGTCCTCATCCTCCTCGCCGCCCACCACGGTGGTCTCGATGGTCTCCACCGGGATGGTCTCGACCTCGATCTCGTGCAGCTCCACGATCTCGGCCGGCATCTCCGAGCCGTCCGTGGCAATGTACAGGGTGTCTCCCGAGGCCATGGCTGGCCGAGGGAGGGGACGAGCGGGTGGGGGCGTCCGCTCCGCTCCCCTCGGTAGGCAGGCGAGGGGACTCGGGCTCCTCTCGCTTCCCTTCCTTCTCCTCCCCCTTCCACACAAACACCAGGCAGCTCCTCGCAGCCAGCGAGAGAGGGAGGCAGCCAGCCGCCAAATCCCGGCTACGCTCCCTCGCGAGACTTCCACCGAGACGGACCTCAGCCCCTGGAGGCTGCTGCTGCCGCCGCCGGGACTCACCCCTCACGCTAAGCAGCCTATCACACCGCGCCTAGCGCCGGGGTCACGCCCCTCACCTCCTGGCAGCCTACTGGAGAGCGTCTGGCCCCGGGGCCCCGCCCTTTTCCATAAACAGCCTATCGCTGGGCAGTAGGGCACGCCCCCTCGCTCATCCCAGCCTATCCCCGCTTCGTGCGGAAGACCCGCGCCGACATTGGGGAAGGAGGACGCTGTCCCAGCCGCTCGTTTCGCCCCCTGAGGAGACGCTCTGCGAGGTTTCTAGGGTCTTGACTCCGCTTCCCGCCGGATCTCAACGTCGGTCGGGACATGCCAGCGCTGTGCGTGCCCCGGGCAGCGCGTCCCGGTCGCCTCGCCCTCCGGTCTGCCGGGCCGAAGGGAAGCCCGGCCGCTCCGGCGGGAGGAGCCAGCCGACTGTGGTGGAGCCCCGGAGATCGCACGCTCCCGTCCTCCGAAAACCTGGCTCGGCGCCGCCTGTGGACGTTTTCCGTTGTTGTTCCTAAGGCCGAGGTCCGGTAGCGCTCTGCTCAGCGAGCCTCGCGCGGTGCGTCTGACGCTTTCTAACGAACTTGCATCAGATTGCGGTGATGCCGTTTTAGTGCAGCGCGTCCCCGTGTTTCAGGGAAAGGCTGTTTTAAGCCGTGTGGCCAAATCAAATATTAACCGGCAGACATGCACCCTTGGAGGTGATTGCAGTGGGATCTGTGCAATAGGTAAGACGAAGAGGAAATTATTGTGAACCTACAGTACTTCCACAAGCTCGGATAATTAGGTTTACTTCGTCACTGCTATGCGTCTGTCTGTCGAAGGAGAAAAAGTCAAACAGTTTAGGTTCGAAAGTGAAGAACCTCTAGCGAACTACAAAAGAACCTGCTACTTACTACCTCTTGTCTATTTAAAGGAAAACTCAAGCTGTATCTTCTAAACTATTTTCCTTCTGTCTCTCTTCCTCCCCTTCCCCACCATATCTCAGTGTCAGTGTGGGAACGCTAGTGTAAGACTGTAGATCCGATTGCTGGTAAACCTCTCTGTGGCCTGGACCTGCTCTGAGCAGCAATCTAAGAACACTAGTAGTCTAACCCGATTCTACCGTGTTTGCTATTAGTTAGATAATTGTACAGTGAAAAAAACTGGAGTGTTTTGTTGGTAAGTGTTGGTCTGGTAAAACAGTAATGACTGATAGCTGCATTAGAACTTGTCCTCTCAAGGAGGAGGGTTGGGGAAAATTTTGTCACAGATTAAACAATGTCAAACTAAATTTGATTCAAAGTTTCCAGTTAGTAAGAATGAATTCCTTTTAAAAGCTTATAGAAATGATTCAAACTTATTTAGGAATTCCACAGTAAAATTGTTTTTAAAGTTTCCAATACATTATAATAACAGGTAAGAATTACTGCATGATTATGTTGTTTGTTTTCTTTTAATCCTTTCAGGTGCCTTAGGCCAATTCTAAAAATTGTGACACCACCTCCCTTCTATTTCACCTAGGCTACGTCTATACTACAGGCTTTTTGTGCAAGAATGGACATTCTTGCATAAAAACTTGCGGAGTGTCTCCACTCCACACGTGTTCTTGTGCAAGTAAATTTACAGTAAAGCATCAGAAGAGAGGGCTTCTTCCGCAAGAGTTATTCCTCTCGCCACCAGGAATAAGGCCTCTTGAGCAAGAAGGCAGTGTGGATGAGAACAGGGGTTTCTTACCCATTTTAGCCATAGAGGTTTCTTGCGCATCAGCTTTCTTGTGCAAGAGAGTGTCTATACTGCCACGGACGCTCTTGTGCAAAAGCACATGGCAGAGTGGACACGCTTTTGCGCAAGAACTCTTGTGCAAAAGTTCTTGCGCAAAAAGCCTGCAGTGTAGACATAGCCCTAAGGACTAGAGATGTTAAATATTGGTTAATTGAATAGTCAATGAATTCTTACCCGTTAGTCGACTATTCTATAATCCCCAGGGGTGAGGCTGGCAGCCAGTGCACTCCTGTCCCACTTCCGAGGAGCCTCCTGCCACTCCTCACTGCTACTTCTGTATCAAAGGCAGCAGCGCAGGGTGCCAGGTGGGAGCTGGTCCGCAAGAGGAAACAGTTTAAAAACCTGTCGTTCCGCGTGGCTGCCTCTGATATAGAGACAGCAGCTACTGTCCGGGGGAGGGACAGGGTCTGAGCCACAGTGGTGGTTGGTCCCAGAACCAGCGCGAGCCAAGACAGCTGGCCAGCCTGCTAAAAAAAATTATTGGTAAGGGTGGGAGGAAATTCATATAAGCTATACATTAACCTATAAGCTTTTGCTTATCGGTTAATCGACTACATTATTACATCCCTACTAAGGACAAATAATAACCATCTCCAGCAATTTGTGTAGGCTGCCTAGTATACTTGTGCCAAGTTCAGCAAAACTTCAAACATGAAACAGAGTTCAAGTGATCAGTGCCTTAATGAAACAAGATGAAATCATATCAAAACAAGTCATATGAAAAATCAGCTGTAGCTTTTCAATGTGATATAGAAAAGATTTAAAATATAGTAAATGTAGACTATAACCAACAGGTATCCCTATTTCCTAATCACTTTCTAACTTTGCGCTCTCATACTTCCTCCTCTGTGTGACTTGATCTGCAAGCCCTTGATTTTGGTAGGACTACTCACAGAGGCAGCAGCATGGGGGCCAATCCCCACTTAAAGGCTGGCTGCCCACAAGCACCAGCTCCCACGGTAGATAGAGAGGCAACAGCATGGGGGATGAAAGGGAAGGTGGGAGTCAGTTCACGTGGAAAGTGGCTTTCAAGCGGACTCCCTATGCATATTTGCTCCCCACACTGCTATCTCTTCATCTGGGCAGCACTGGGGGGAGGGGAGAGGTGGTGCTCTCAGAGCTAGATTAAAAGTTGGCTTCCCGGAGCACTGGCTCCTGCCTCCCCACCCATTTCCAATGGTTACACATTTACACAAATAATAGTTAACATCCCTAGTTTAGGCCCTACCTTTCTGTCACACTTCTCTCTTCTTCTTTTGACAGCCTCTCTCCTTCCAAGATCAACACAATTTTCCCCCAGGGGCTATTTGTGTTCTTCATTAATCTTAGTAGAAATGATTTTCTTTTTTTTTTCCTTCCCTTTTTTCAACTTATTTTTTTCCTCTCTCACATACTTCAAGCAACTTAACTGTCTTTCTCCTCCAGAACCAACCCCCCTTCTTTCTATGCTACTTCTACCACTAAAGGTTTTTTGTTTTGTTTCTTCTCCCAAACTGCCAAAACCCACTGCCTTGGATCGCTCTGCTTCTAATATTCCATCCTTTGTCTTGTTAAAGTTGTATCATCCAGAACACTCTACCCAATATTTGAATAGCTGTGGAAGAAAATATCACTTCCCTTGTAACCTAGCACCAATCTATTCTATATTAAGGCTGATGTTTTTGTTTACCACTGTCTTTAAAATATATATACTAGGCCATTTTAGAAATAGGTAAGTATTTGTGAATTGCTTATAAATGACCTCAAATATCAGACACATTTACATCCTAGTGGAAAATAAAGTCATTGGTTCTTAAGACCAGACTCTTTTCTTGGCTCATACTCAGTGTAGCAAGGCAGGTTCCCCCAGGACTCCTAGTCTGGTTCCAGCTACACCCAGCCTTGCCTTTTAGTCTCTCTCTTGCTTGCCTTATTGGAGTTTTCCGGCGTCGTCAGAGTTCCAACTCAGTCCCAGGTCCCTCACTCGAGAACTGCCCCTTGTTGCTACCTGAAGACGCTGCGCTGGCCCTCTGGCCCTGAGAGTCTCTTGGGTTTCTCCCTGTGTTCTCAGCACCTTTGGGGGGAAGCATGGCCTCGTAGTCCAGTCAGGATCTTCCTTTCCCCCGTCCTTTGGGTGCGCTCCCCTTTTTAAACCAGCCACCCTCCTTTTGGGCTGGCCCCTGGGGATGATATCCACGCGTCCCCCGCCCGTCCTGTAGGCTGGCGCATTGGGATGATGTCAGCCTGCGCCCCCTGTCCTGTGGGCTGGCACACAAGAATGACCCCAGTGTGCGTCCCCAACCTGTCCTATGGGCTGGTGCTGAGGGGTGACAGCCCACTGCGGGCTCCTTTCACCCCCTCCCCGGAAGTGCCTGGGCCCCATTCCCCAGCGCAGTGAGATGCCTCATCCCCATGGTGCAGACCTGCGCCGGGTCCTAAGGCCCCAGGCCACCAGGCGAACGTGTCCTCTGCCCTGCGCTCAGAGTGCAGGGGGGCATGTCCTGCTGAGCGGAGGGAGGCAGCTCCCTGTCACGCTCAGAATAAATTCTATGATGTCAGGCTACATCTACACTGCAGGCTTTTTGTGTAAGAAGAGATCTTCTGCAAAAACTTCTTGAGCAAAAGCGCATCCATGCTACAAAAGCTCATCACAAAAGCAATGCGCTTCTGCTCAAGAGAGCGTCCATACTGGATGGACGCTCTTGCGCAAGAAAGCTCTGATGGTCATTAACAAGGTGCCATCAGAGCACCTGTGCTTTTTCTGATAGGCTCTCTGTACAAGAAACCCGTTAAGTGTCCATACACACCTTTTTGCGCAAGAACTCTTGCGCAAAATGGAGTTACTCCTTCTAGAAAGAGATCTACCTATACCACAAAAAGCCCCCGGTTCTGCCGTTCTACTGTAAATTTTCTTGTGCAAAAACACGCTTGAGGTGTGGATGCTCCGTGCGGTTTTGCACAAAAATTGGCCGTTTTTGAGCAAAAAACCTGCAGTGTACACTTAGCTTAATTGTAGCAGGTATTACCGCTACCTGGGAAATACTTTCTATTGATAAAGTTTAGACAAGGAGGGGGAAACCTGAGGTAAATTCAGGGTGGAAATGTAGACTGAGGTATAGATTGAAATACTGTCAAAGCTAAACCATAGGAAGGTTTCAGAGGGGGTATTAGTCAGCTTCAGTCTCTTCATTGACTCTGCCTTCACCTCTACATCAGATAAGATTTTTATCTTTAAGGTCCTTCAGAAGTTACCCAGCTGGGATCCCCCACTGTGGGCAGGGGCTGCTTCATGTAACAGAGACAGCAGTGAGGGGGACAGGAGGGAAGCTGGTGATGGGTTTCCCCAGAGTGGGCAGGGCTTGAGCCCTCCATCTCCCACTCTGGAGGCAGGTACTTTAATCCATTGCACAACTGGAGGAGCCCCCCAACCTCTAACAGAGACAGCAGTGAGTGGGGGCACATGGAGATGGTGCTAAGCGGAAATGGCTTATAAGCTGGCTTCCCCTCCGCCCCCAGCACCAGCTCCTGCTCCCCACCCTGATACAGAGGCAGAACGGGGGGCAGAAGTGAGCAGTCGATTCTACCCAATAAGTACACTCTTGAAAGTTCTCTACACCTGAGCTATGGGATATTCTGAGATGGGTAGTCCCTAACTCTCTCCTGTTGACGTTTTTACTGTCAAGAAATAATGAAACATGACTGGTGCAGAGGGACAGGATCCAGGGACTCCTACATTGGTGCTCTAACCCCGGGACCGCAGTGTCATTTTCACATATATTTTCTCTGTTGCACTCTGGCCCAATGATTGTTCCACTCCTGAGCTATGGGATATTCTGAGATGGGTAGTCCCTAACTCTCTCCTGTTGACGTTTTTACTGTCAAGAAATAATGAAACATGACTGGTGCAGAGGGACAGGATCCAGGGACTCCTACATTGGTGCTCTAACCCCGGGACCGCAGTGTCATTTTCACATATATTTTCTCTGTTGCACTCTGGCCCAATGATTGTTCCACTG